ATTAGCCCAGAATGAAATCACTGATGTTGTTTTATTCTGACAATTGTGTTGGTCAGAATATAAACAAAGCCATTGTATCATCATATATAAAAACCATTCGTGAAACACCCTTAACTAGGATCAGACATGTTTTTCTTGAAAAAGGTCACACCCAAAATGAAAATGACAGTGTACATGCCGTTATTGAAAATGCAAAGAAGCACTTGTCTATTTTCGTTCCTGAGCAATATTTCTCATTAGTGCGCAATGCTCGAAAATCAAAAGAAAAGTACAACGTCTATGAATTGTCACAGAATGATGTGTTTGATTATAAAGTATTTGCAAATAATTTAAAAAAATCTCACATGTGATACATTTGGTTGTAAGGTACGTTGGGGGAATATCAGAGAATTCTATGTTTGTAAAACATCCCCAAACTCTTTGTTTATAAAGTATCACCACGGTGACACTGAATATATAGAAATAGATCTGTTTAGGAGGCAAAGAGTTCAAGACTTTCCTCTTAAACTGTGCTACACCAATCCAGTTCGCATAACCGACGCCAAATCCAAGGACCTGAATGCGTTGTGCAATGCCAGTGCCATTCCGCACCGCTACCACAAATTTTATCATGACTTGCCTCACGGCGCCAATGACTCTGATACTGATAGTGATCAGGATTAAGGAGTTAAACACAATGTTTATAGTAGACAGACAGCACTTATGCCATGAAAGGCTACATGTGTTGTAAGCTAGAATTATTTTTATATACAATTTCATTTTTGTTTGTTGATATCATTGCAATTAAATAGCATTCCCCGTTACTATACGTACAATATAAACTAGTACACGTATTTATCAATTAATAGGTTAACTTAAAATGGTGACTAATATTTATACCATGCATTCGCAGGAATGTTCTGATGAGTTAACAATCTTCATGAATCAATTATGTAATAATTAATAAGTATCCAAGCAGCGTCATATTTTGATAATATTTATCAAATCTGGTATTTTTTTCAAAGAAGTGGCTGGAATGTAACATTATGGATACAAAGGATGAGAACTGAATATATATAAATTGTATACATGTACATGTATGTAGAACTACCCAATGCTTGAAATGAGTTTATAGTTTCTTTACAGTTCAATAAATGTTTACCCCGCAAAATGTGTTATATTGTCAATAAAAGATAAACACCGGCTTCTTCCTGTAGCGCTCACCTATCCTAGTACTCCTTCAGGACAAGAAAATTTTTTAAAGAATTTACTAAATTTCACATAATGGGCCACGCCCCTCAGCCCCAGGGGGCCTGGCCAGACCCACAGTATACAAAATTTATTTCACTTTTCTGGAGGATGCTCAAGACCAATTTTGGACAACATCCTGTAACTTCTTTCGAAGAAGTGGTAATTTTAATGTATTTACTCAATTTCCCCAATTGGGCCCCGCCCCTCTTGGCACAGGGGTCCCAGGCCCACGGTTTCTATAACATGTATTACCCTTCAGCAGAGCATGGTGCAGACAAAATTTAGACCTTATCCTAAAATTCCTGCGGAAGAAGAAGAAATTTAGAGAATTCACTAATTTCACCGAATGGGCAACGCCCATCTGAACCCAGGGGGCCCAGACCCACGGTTTATACAAAATTTGATCCCCTTCCCCCAGGAATGCTTCTGACCAAATTTGGTTCATGACTAGTAGCGATTTATAGAAAAAAGTTGACGGACGGACGCCGCGCCATGACATAAGCTCACTTGCCCTTCGGGCAGGTGAGCTTAAAAAAAGATACACCAACAGAAACCATTTTTGCAATATCACGATGAAGCAACTATATTTACTCTTATGGCGGAATGAAACCCAAGAAGATATTTCAGGCAATTTAATGATTTATCTACATTTTAAAATTGTATTTTAGTACACTATTATCATTATCATTATCTATTATGAACGCTTAATGAACTTTTCACCCAGGAACGAAAATGAGTTCATAAGATATAAGACCAGAAGAATTCGAACAGGTATGAATATTGAAGGGAAACTGAATCTCGTGAAAATCAAATTATAGCATTTTTGTTTGTTTTTAATTCGCTGAGTTGTTTCAGGACAATACCGCATGGAATACTGTCCATCACCGTTTAAAACCTGTTTCAGGAGTGCTCGCTTAAGGATTTGCACAGGCCGCTCCGCTGCACCATTCGATGCGGGATGGTACGGAGGTACAACAGTAGGTTTCTCTCCTTTATTAACCATGAACTGTTCAAATTCACTAAAAATGAACTGGGGTCCATTATCTGATACAATCTCCTCGGGGAGACCATATGACGCGAATAACCACCGCAAGACCTCAATTGTCCTATTTGAGGTTGTGGAAGTCATGTGAAACACTTCCAACCACTTCGAATGGCTATCTATAACAACCATGAAATGCTGTTTGTCCTTCTCCGCGAAGTCAATGTGTGACCTTTGCCACACTCGCGCTGGCCAGCTCCATGAAAAAAGTTGTGCTACAGGTGTTGTGCTACATGAACTTTGACACACACTATAGGCATTGACCAAACTCTCAATTTCCTTATCGAGATTAGGCCACTAAAGATAGCTTCTGGCTAGTGCTTTCATAGCACACATTCCAACATGCTGTTCATGAAGGTCATTCAGAAGTCGTTCGCATAAAGCAGGAGGTATGACCACGCGCAGACCCCATAATGTATATCCTTGTTCGGTTGATAGGTGTTCTGGGCACTGGAAGTATGGTTGGAGATTAGCTTCAGCCACGTAATTAGGCCACCCATTTAATGTATATCTCAGGACTTTAGAAAGAACTGGGTCCTTCCTTGTTTCTTCTTGGATGTCCTCAGATCTCAAGGGTAGTTCGTCAAGTTGTGTGAAATGGTAAATATCTGCCTCCTCAGACTTACTGTCGGACCCTATCGGTAGACGGGAAAACACATCAGCGTTAGCGTGTTCTTCACCTTTACAATATGCAATATCATACTGATAGGCCGATAGCATTAAGGCCCAGCGTTGCATTTTTGCCACCGCCAATGTAGGTACTCCAGTCTTTGGTCCTAGTATCCAAGTCAGTGGCTTGTGATCAGTGACTGATGTGAAGTGTCGACCGTACAAATATTTATGAAACTTCTTCACACCAAATATCAAACTCGATGCCTCCTTCTCTATTTGGGCATAGTTCCTTTCACTTGGTGACAGCGTCCTCGAAGCAAATGCAATTTCTCTCCCTCCTCCGACACATGGGAGAAAACCGCTCCTAAGCCGTATGCTGATGCGTCACAAGCCAATCGTACAGTCTTGCCTGGATCATAGTGTACAAGCACGCATTCACTGGTCAATAGGTCATTGCACGTCTGGAAGGCGGTTTGACACTCTGAGGTCCAATTCAAATAGACCGAACAATCCAAAATCTTCATCATCATCAGTGTCTACACCTTGATATTGCACATTTTTCTTCTTATATTTACACTTTTTGCCAATGTGTCCATTGTGTTAATATACCCATTGAAGATTTTAGGCATTAGTCTTTTACCTTTTGGTTTGTTTAATGTTATTCTCTTTTGGATCGCTGTGTGTTTTACCCTAATGACATATTATAACAGCATGATACATAAAGCAATGTATCCAATAAACCAATAACCTAAATACACACTCGCCCTACATAATGATGCAGGGGTTCCAAGAACAATAAAAGACACAATGCAATTTTATAGATACAACATTATTCCGGCTGTAATCACAAATAAATAGCAGGAGATAATTTTAAACAAAAATGCTCCTTGCTAGGAGCTATATTTAAAAAAATAAATGATGTAATGTAACAAAATAGGTAATAGAACTATAATTTAGTGCAGAAATTTAAGGTACAAAAGGTATCAGGCAAGTACGAGATTTCTCATGGGTTTGGTTATTATTATCCAATCAGGGCTTGGCTAGAATTGAAGTGTTTGGGTATTTTTAATACTAAGACAATAGCGAAGGAGGGAATAATGGGGAAAATTGGAGACTAGGGCTAGGAAGCAGACAAGGCAGTGCTGGCCTGTAATGGGAGTAGGGACTTAAGCGAGAGATAGCGGAGGACTTAATCAGGAACTTGTGTAAAATTTTGTCTTTCCTTTGTTACTTCGTCTAGTGACACTCCTTCTCCTTTGCAAAACAACAACTAGAATTTTGCAAGTGGGTTGTGCCGCCAGAGCGATAGCATTCCCGGTTTCCGGTCTGCCGATCAGGTTAAGAGATCTTCCTCTGCAGGTTTTGTAGTCGGTATACCCTCAATCATGGTTCAAACATATTTTTCAGCACTTTTCCAGGATTTTTTGCAATTTTTCATTTTTTCAACAAGCATGCTGGAAATAGAGGTAAATCTGTTCTTTTTAAACTTTACTGTAATTAAAAAATCAACAGCAAAAAAAAAATCAATACATAACTACTGCTCAACTAATTTTATTCATCAGAACATTCAACAGCTTAGCAGCCTTTTAACGATTCTGTTTTTGGTAGCAATTTCCTAATGAAGTGATTTCTCCTGTTCTGCCTGTAATGATCACATATGAGTCAGACATATATGAATAAACTTCTTAGTTTATAGAAAACTCAAGCAGTCTCAAGATGGCGACAATCATCATTCAACAACATGTGCTCAATCGACTAATAATAGAGACGGATTGACGGATATACAATTTCAGGAATACGGACCAAATATCCGGAATTTATATAATAATACCAAATATCGTTACATCCCTTCACCAAGATAAAATATCTAAATTTTCATTTGTATTAATTAGTTAATGACAAATATGTTAAATTTCTGAATTTATATATGTAAATATCAATAAAGAAATATTTGAATTTAACCAGTCTTTGAGTGTCATCATTCTTTAACTAATAATGTGTAATATAATGTATTATTTTAAAACTCTAGAACTTTTACTTTTAAGTCCATATGAAAAGAATCAAACTTTTAACTTTCACATTTAAACAGTTCAATAACTAAGATCATCTATCATATTTAACACTGTTCAATTAATCTCTGTGGCCTTTTAACAGTTCTTCCACATCTACTAGTTTTTGGTTCCACATCTGTATCAGAAACATTGGTCTGATCAGGCACATCATCAGGAATGGGTTCCAGAACATTGTTCCCAGTCTTGGGCCACTCTTCATCATCAGGAATTAACTTGAGATGTTTACGATTTCTACGAATTAGATAAGATCTAGGACCTAATTCATTCACAACTGTTGCGCGATCTGTTGACCAGGCGTTTTGCTCCTGGATTCGAACCTTGTCACCGGGTGCAAGATTGACATGCGATTTAACATGATTTCTCTGATCATAATAGTGTTTCTGCTTCTGTTTTTCATTTTCACGCCATTTCATGATTTCAGTAGAATTGTTGTCAGCCTTCTCAATTCTTGATTTCTCTATGTAGTTAGGTAGATTTGTTTTTAGACATCTCCCCAGTAGCATCTCTGCGGGTGAACGGCCATTTCCTAAAGGTGTTGTACGGTATGCTAAGAGTGCCATATGGATATCTTGGTTACTCTCCTTACATTTTTTCATCATGTTCTTTATTGTTTGTACAGTTCTCTCTGCAAGTCCATTAGACTGTGGGAATTTTGGACTACTGGTTATGTGTTTAATGTCCCATTCTCTCGCAAAGTCTTTAAATTCTCGACAGCTGTAACACGGTCCATTATCACTTGTAAGAATCCGTGGTACACCATGACGTGAAAATATACTTTTTAACGCATTGATAACCGCAAACGCTGTTTGGTTTGGCAATAACAAAACTTCTGGGTAGTTTGAGAAACTATCACAAGTTACAATGTAATCTTTCCCTCCTAATGAGAACAAATCTGTTGATACGCGTTCCCATGACGATTTGCACACTGGAGTAGGTTGTAACGGTTCAGCTTGCTGTTTCATCGCGAATCTCTGACAAACATCACAGTTATCCACCATTTCGTTTATCTCTGCATTCATGTTAGGCCAAAATAAAAGTTCACGAGCACGTTTCTTACATTTTTCTCTTCCAAGATGTCCATGGTGTATTTTTGTCAGCATTTCCTTCCGTAGCTTAGCTGGAATGACTAGTCTAGTTCCTTTAAATACTAGTCCATTAATGACAGTGAGTTCATTTCTGAAATTCCAATACGGAACTACATCTGGCGTACACTTACTACGATCATCTGGCCATCCTTTCACTATTGAATTAACCACTCTCTGTAGTGTTTCATCTTGCTGTGTAGCTTCATACATTTGATCCTTTTTTGTTTCACTAACCGGTAATGTATTATAAATACAGTTGACATACATTTCTACTTCCTCAGTTAGAGTTTTCTGTGTATCCGCTGTTTCTAAGGATGCTCTAGAAAGTGTATCTGCTGTGTACATAAGTTTTCCTGGGGTGTGAGCTAACTTGAAGTCGTACATTTGTAGCCTCAATCTCATTCTCTGTATCCTAGGAGGACATTCATTAAACGATTTGGCAAATATCGCAACCAACGGTTTGTGATCCGTTTCCGCTTGGAATTTTGTACCATAGATGTACTGATGGAAACGCTCGCAAGCAAATGTCAAGGCTAAGGCTTCACGTTCTGTTGGCGCGTATCGACTTTCGCATTCTGTGACTGTCCTTGAAGCATAAGCTACAGGTAGCCATTCGTTGTCATAATTCTGAAGTAATACGGCTCCCAACCCTGTCTGGCTCGCATCAGCAGATACCTTGATTTCTCTCTTAGGATCATAGAATTTAAGCACAGGTTCATTAGACACTAATATCTTAAGTTCTTGAAAGGCTTTCTCTTGGGGCTTATCCCAAATCCATGCATTCTCTTTCACTAACAATTTACGAAGTGGCTCTGCTTTGCTGGATAGATCAGGTAGGAATCTGGCTAAATAATTAACCATACCTAGAAATCTTTGTAATGATTTCTTATCCTCAGGTCTTTTCATCTGGTTTATTGCCGTGACTTTTTTGTCATCCGGTTTAATTCCTTCTGATGTTATAATGTCACCAAGGAAGGTAAGTTCTTGTACTCCAATAACAGTCTTGTCACTGTTGAGTCTAAGATTCGATTCTCGCGCTATATCCAGAACTTGCCTGACTCTAGCATCATGTTCCTCAACCGTTGATCCCCAAATTATGATGTCTTCCATTGAGGTATCTACACCTGGGACATTCTCAAATAATGTGTGAATTATCCTGTGATACATCTCCGGTGCACACGAAATCCCAAATGGTAACCTTTTAAATCTGTAACGTCCAAATGGAGTTATAAATGTACACAAATCTGAGCTATCTTCATCTAGTTGGAGCTGCCAGAACCCACTTGATGCATCTAAGTTTGAGAAAAATTTTGCTCCTGCAAACTTTGACATGATTTCCTCTCTAGTAGGAAGTTTAAAGTGCTCCCGTCTGATATATCGGTTCAAGTTTCTCGGATCAAGGCAAAGTCTTAGTTTTCCATTTGATTTTGGCACAATTACTAGCGCGTTAACCCATTCAGTAGGTTTTTCAACTTTTTCTATAACTTCCATCTGAAGCATCTTCTCGAGTTCTTTTTTTACTAGATCATATTGCGCGAATGGAATTTTACGACACGCTTCGATAATTGGTTCTGCGTTAGCATCAATTTTGATTGACACTTTTCCAGAGAGACAACCTAATCCTTTGAAGACATCAGAATATTCACTTTCAACTTTTTATTGTTGAGATGTTCTACTTTCACTTTCGATTTAGGCCTTTCAATGCTCTTTGAATTCTGTTCTTTGTTTACTGCCAGCACTAATTGTACTAGTCCCATCATTTCACTACTTTTTCTACCTATGATCGGTTTTACTTCTTGTGGACATATCATGAACAATACATTGTACTGTCTATTCTTGTGTATTACTCGACAAACACACTGTCCTATAACCTCAATGGGTCCTGCATTGTATGCTCTTAGTTTCACTTTCGTTTCATGTATTTTCGGCTTATTTCTCAGCTTGTCAAAGTCTTTCTTGGGTATTATATTTACATCGGACACTGTGTCGATTTTTAATGGAATTAGGGTTCCTTGGACTTCTAACGGTGCTATCCATGTCTTGGATTCTCCACATTCAACTGAATCTATAAATAGATCATGTTCGGTAAAGTTATTTGCTTCATTGTTTACGGTATGTACTTTCTGTGGTTTCTGTTTTGATCTACAGGCTTTCGCGAAGTGGTTCTTTTTTCCACCTTTCCTACAGGTTTGACCTTTTGCTGGACAGAAATCCCCTCTATGTACTAAGGCACAGGCTGAACACGTGGTGTTTGTTTTTGTTTTCTGACTATCTGAATGTGGTTTGTTTACGTTCCGAGTCCATCCTCGCTTATCCCTTAAATGTTTTGACCTCACATAATCAACATCTTGCTGTTGACTAGTTGCTAATGACTTCATATGATGATCTGTCATCGATGAAGTCTTGCATAGTTCGATGCATTTATCTAAACTCAGATCACTTTCTCTCAGTAACGTAGCTCTAAGTGTGTCGCTTCTAATCCCTTCAACAATTCTGTCTCTCAACACACCATCTGTTAAGTTACCAAATTCACAATTCTTTTGTAATATTCTCAAATCAGTCAGATATTCATCAAATGTTTCATCGGGTTTTTGTGATCTCCTATTGAACACGTGTCTTTCGTAGGTTACGTTTTTTTTAGCTGAACAATAGTTAGTAAATTTTTTTATCAAAGGTTCAATCTTGTCCTTATCAGCATCATCAAATGTCATCGTATTGAAAATCTCAACTGCTGTCTCACCTGCCAGAGTTAAAAACGTAGCACATTGTTTTTTCTCGTCGAGTTCGTCCCCTGCAGTGGCAGTCATATATAGCCTGTACTGTTGTAGCCATCTTCTCCAATTCTCCGACACATTTCCTTCAAAAGAGAGGTATTTCGGCGACGGTAGTTTGTGTTCCATCTTCCTGACACCATGTAATGATCACATATGAGTCAGACATATATGAATAAACTTCTTAGTTTATAGAAAACTCAAGCAGTCTCAAGATGGCGACAATCATCATTCAACAACATGTGCTCAATCGACTAATAATAGAGACGGATTGACGGATATACAATTTCAGGAATACGGACCAAATATCCGGAATTTATATAATAATACCAAATATCATTACACTGCCTTTTCCTTTGCCTTTTCTCAAAGACTGTTGGAGTGCGCAATGTCAGATAAATTGCCTTCTTTTTCTGCCTTCAATGCATAACTGTCAGATTGCAATAATGACTTATGGTCTTATTTATTTTGTTTCAATTTTTCCACAAACTGTCAATTTATTCTTCCAGACATTTCCTTCTTCTTTTCTGTTCCGCTGTGCTTGTCCTTTCTTTCTCTTGCTCAAGATATCTAGCATATTTGTGTCTAGCATTCTTGGCACTGGTCAAGAGATCCTTTGTGATAGGAACTTTAAAAATCACCATAACTGTTCACAAAATCACAGAGGAGTCTTTGTGCCACAATTGTCTGTTCATTCATGTTTTCCACTTCAAGCTTTTTGTTGATGGAAAATCCTCTCTCGACTGTTGCTTGACCATGGCTTAAAACCAGTCCCTTGTACACCGTTTTGTTTAAATGAAATGCAAGGAATTGATCTGGCCTAGAGGAATACGGATCAAATGTTTCAAACACCTTCTTTCCAATGACAGGAATAGTATCAAGAAATACTTTGTGCTGGTTTAGGCAGCTATCACTTTCCCTCTCAGTGATACGATTTTTTCTGCACAGTGACAGGAACAGCTTCTTCAGATAGCTGATAGAATTGACTGGATCATTTGCCATTTGTGTTGGATTCAGGCAAGACATTTGCTTTGTCATAGAGTAGTGAAGGGGGCTCTTTTCCAACAGTTTTGTAACTAAACTGCATACACACTTTCCGCACTTAATTCGGAATTCTAACACTTGTCAATCACTGATCTTGTCACTTCCCTTATTATTTTGTGCCTCCCTTAGAGCCTTCGCAGCACCAAAGCCTATCTCAACTTTTTGTCATCTTTTCAGTCAATACTTGCGAGTTTTGTGGCACCGAAGATATCAGGTTTCACCACATTCATCAAGAGTGTTTTCACCATCGGGTTATCTCTTTGATAATGTCCCAGGAATGGCTGAATTTCAAGTGCGATGTGTTGGGAAAATTCAAGTTAAGCAGTGATCAGTTTGTCTTTCACAGATGAAGCAACAACTTGAAATGATTTATTTTCAGGTTTAGCCACTTCTCCGGATTCCACTTTCTTTACAAAGACCTTAATATTAGACCAGACTTTCAAGGCCCTTTGACACTCTCTTTGGATGGAAAAACTGCCACCAGTTTTATTGTTATAAAGTACATAGTGAACACTTATTAATTCATCATTTGAAACATTAGACAAACCTGAATCATGTTCTTCATATTGAGTTCCTATTCACGAAATGATTCATCATGTCTTCAGCTGGCCTAAGAACTGAAAATTGAAGTACATTGTCTTTACCAGCTGATTGTTGGTGTCCCAAAATCGAATATGAATATCCATTTGTTTTGATCGGAGATTAAGCTCTCATCAAATAAAATGAAATATTATGATGATATTTCTTGTGCTAACATCGTGTTAATGTATTCTGCAATACCAAACGCGCACATGTGTGCAGTTTTCCTTTCCCCACATGTGAAGTTTTTTGCAATAGCGCTATCTGGAAACATTGTTTTGAAACGTTTTCGTTTGATTTATAAGAAGCGTGATTCACCACCGTTTGAATCGTCCGCAGAATTTCCGATTTCAATGACGACGAAATAGGCGCATGTACCAGTGGTACTGACGGCGGTGGTGGGATATTTAAATCCACGAGGTTTTCGGATTCTGCTTCTTTTGTCTCCTGCTTCATTGGCTTAAACATTTTCTGTGTTGATTCAACCATCCGTTGCACCTTTAAATGTTTGTCTGATTATTGTTGTGATTTAAGGGCGCTTTCCCCCATCGTGCCGATCACAATCTCTTTTTTACAAACTGAACACCACGCCTTGTGTCTATTACTTGAGACAGCATTCACCCAAGTGTACTTCCGCTCCCACAGATAATTATAAACACAATTGTGGGAAGTCATGATGACGTTACTTGCGCATGCGTTATGCAGATCTTCTAGATGTTTGTAAGTTTCGGATTGTCACAAATGTAATGCGCCTAGGTGACTGCTATTCTAAAAATGAAAACCACTACGGACCCGGAAAGAGCAATATACCTGACGACGATCTATATTTTTCAATTTATATTTCTAACGATGTTTTATCTTTCTAATCTAAAAAGATAAGAGAACTACAACAAGTAAAAATGAATTCCAGGACTTTTCAAGTACTTGTGAGGAAATTCCAGCACTGACCCCAAATTCCAGCACTTTTCTAGCACTGACCCTTAATTCCAGCACTTTTCATCTTCTGTGCGAACCATGTCAATGCAAAAAGCTTGTTTTTCACGGCTTTCTATAGCTCTGGCACTGTTTTGTAACTGGTCAAGAGTCAGGTATTTTCCTTTTTCTAGTAGTTTACGTCCGAGATTGTGTGAATTACGCTTTTCGATAACTTCATCGCGGATTTGATCGGAAATATCAGTTAAATCACAGGAAGTTTCTTGTTGTCGTAGTCTTGTTATTAACTGATCTATTGTCTCCGATGGTTGTTGTGAAATATTTCTGAAAATATGTATATACAGTACGTTGACTGTTGGTGCAAAATACTTATCTAGCTACAACCGGGACACTTTTCACTTGATGAAATGGTTAAATCAGACCCAGACAGTTACACCTTCCGTTCATCCTTCTCGAAATTACAGTTAAAATATGAAACATTTCTACATTTATATACTGATGGTTCCAGAGATAATGATAAGGTTGCTGCGGCCATGGTTACAAAAGATGAAACCTATGGATGCCGGCTGCCGAACAACGCCTCAATATTCTCGGCAGAAGCGCGAGCTATCTACCTCGCCCTTGAATATATCCAAAGAATTTTTAGTTATTACATTGAGTTTTAGGTACCTCTAATAGCCTTTTGTTGTTAACATTATACAAATTGTTGTGATGGAGTCAACTTTATTTGTTTTGACATTGTAAATAATCACAGACCTCAAGAGAGGGTGAAAAATTGGGAAATACAGAATAAAACTATGTGTCAAAAATTATGGAGTAAATATAAAATGTGCAGCTTGAAATTCAACAGTTTATACTAATCATACTAATCACATCATTTACATGTATATAAGTATACTATGTGGTCCCGTTGCCGTAATCGGGGACAAATAAAATTAGCATCTATTGAAGTGCTATTGTATACAGGAACGACAAGATTCATCGTGTTCCATCGTTGGCTATCAAGCCCACTTTAATGCCGCCATGATAATACAAGATGTGGTTCCCAGAAATGTGCAATGCTAGCTACATGTAAAAGGGAGGCTAATCGTTAGTAGTTATGTTAAGGTATCAGGTAACCATATAAATAATATACATCGAGTGTACGATTATCATTACAAATCAATGGACATT